CAGGCCGGGAATGAGCAGCGCAAATCTCTCGGCTCGCGGCCAAATGCGCATAACTCGTTTGAGAGGAGCATCCTCATCCTCATCCTCATTCTCATCGTCACCCATATTCCTATTCCCATCCTGCTCTGCTCGTTAGCAGACCCAAAAAAAAAGAAAAAGGAAGAGGAAAAACCACCAGAAAAAAGAACGAAAGCCCTGTTTACCATTTTCTGTATTTAAATACACTTTCAGAGGGTAAAATTAATTTGATCGGGAGTTTGCAACCCAGACATAGACACCAATCTATCTATTACCTATTACCATCATGTGATATATACATATGTTTCAATACATTTCTGTGCATCCATTTTCAAGCGACTTCAAGCGTTTGTCTACGTGTATGATCCTCGCTTCCGGTGCGAGAGGTTCCGACTTCAGCTGCCGGACGAGCTTTGTGTTTCTCATTTCTCTTTTTTGATCCTTAAGATGTCCAGAAGGTGCTTGCATATAACACACAAACAATAATCCCAATTTTGTTTGTGTGTAAAGTCGACACGATGCTTCGGATGCCACTGCAAGGGTATTCACATTTTCGCCCTAAACCTGGCCATCGTCTCCTATTTTTCCTCTGTTACTTTTCTTCTATTTTTACTTTGGCTGAGCCGAAGGTGGAAGGAAGCTGGCAGGATGAACACCGGCTCTGGAGTGATATCCGTGCGGCTGAGTCGACTTAGTTTGATGTCTTACAAAACTAACAAACTGAGAAATGCTGCAAATGAGCTTTGGACCAACCGAATTGTGGCGACACCTATGAAACCCATTTGTTTCTAGAACAAAAAAAAAACACACACACACACAACAAAAATAAAGCATCCAAATAAGGGGAAACCTTTTAAGCAAAGAAAACTGGGTTACCCACTAAAGTGCAGCCAGCTGAGTCATGTGTGAAGAGAGATAGAGAGTGGGGAGGGTGAGAGTGGGGAGAGTGGGGAGAGTGGAGTGTGTAGAGTGCAGAAAGCTGTTTGTATATCCCCTTCCTCATCCGCTCGCAAACACTCTTTGCGCATCCTTTTTAGATGTGTTTTAAAAGATTCAGCTGTGAGTGAGTCCCCATGGGTGCCAAAATAGTGGACACACACAGATAGATGCAGCGCCAGGGCGACCGGGAGGCGGGGCGTGGGAGGGGGATGCTGGTGGCGCAACCGAGTGACAAACCAGAGCGGGTTGGGGGTTGGATGCGGAGAGACAACCACAGATAAACTGCAACCAAAAGCAGCAGGAAGGAAGAGCGAAGCCAGAGGCAGGAGCCCCAAGCCGGGAGCCGGGAGCCGGGAGCCAGGAGCCAGGAGCCAGGAGCCGGGAGAAGTGTGAAGCAAATGTGAAACAATTCCGCTAATTGCAAAAAATGCGATGCCAACGAGTGGACACAGAGGGGTACACAGAGAGAGAGAGAGAGAGAGAGAGAGAGAGACCTCAAGTGGGTACTGGCTGTGGGTGGTGGGCGGTGGGCGGTGGGCGGTGGGTGGCAGGCCGCACAGCATGCAGAAGCGTTGGTCATTAAAAGGCGTTGCACTGCACACAAAACTATGCAACACTTCGAGACCACCAACTGAAACCCCCCCCCCTTGAGAAAATCTAGCTCAACTTAACTTGATTTTACTCTAGTTCAGAGTTTTCTTGCCACTGAATGTTTCACGTGCCGCAAGCTCAGATTTTTCTTGTTCTTGGACTTGCACTTTAATTAATTTAATTTGGTCTTGCTTTGCTTTTACCGACTGCTTGGAGAGGATCGGAGAGGATGGCAGGAGATGGCAGAGGCAGAGCTGCTGAAGGGTGTGGGCAGGGTGTGCCACTGCCACTGGCCCTAAGGATCGTCCCGTTTCGAGTGTTGCATTTTTCGTCAGCTTTTCATTAAATGCCGAGCGTATGCTACACTTTTATTACTTGGGTGTAGACACCAGCCACCACCAATACGCTGGCAGATCTAGTGACGGGGGGGTATAGTTGCTTTGCTTATTGCTATCCACTGCCCAGCGAATGGGCGTGGCATCTAAGCAAAAAAAAAAAAAACAATCCGCAACGAAAATAGGGAAAAAGGGAAAGCACCAAATTGTTGTTGACAGTTTGATTGAGTTTGCGTTGTGTCAGCGTTTTTCCTCGATTTTCCTCGTTGTTTCTCGCCTTTTCGCGCTTTCCCTACGACTCCTACTCTTGCTGGAGACTAACTGGGGGATTGTGGTCTGTCGACTGTTGCATGGAAGCAGGGAAATGCCAGGAACACACGCACCAAATTGCACCAGCATATGAGGCAGGACGGGGGCGAGAGGGTCACACTCTCTTCTCCTCTCTCTCCTTCTCTCACTCTCTCTGATTTGCTGGAATTATGGGAAAAAAGCTGCTCGATTGTCGGGCAGAACATAAACCGCAGGACATGGGTCCTCAAGGCGCCAAGGACCAAAGACCAATTGTGCACCATTTCCTCCAGCGGTCAAATGACACTGACCAGCATCTGCAGTCCCCCGAACCCCAAGCAGTAGAACGGAGGTGAACAGCGCCAGAAGAGCCAGAAAACCAAGGAAGCCCTTGGAGACAGGACAGGAGGAGAGAGGAAAGAGAAGTCAAATGAAGTTAGTACCAGGAGGATGCGGACTGCCGTTGGAACTGCCACTGCGACTAGAAATAGGAGCCACTGTGCATTTGCCTGGGCCCTGGACTAACAAGGATAATTGCAAAAGGAAGTAACAATAAACTCAATGATATCGATGCCCAGCTCACACACACCTACACAGACACACCACCCACAAACACACACACATTAAAATAGAGAGAGAGAGAGAGAGAGAGGGAGAGAGCAGAGGAAAGAGGAAAAAACGAAACCAACGCAAAACGGCATGTCCTGGCCCGTGTCCTGCGTCCTGTGGAACGTTTGCGCCCAGCGAGCAATCAGCGTAAAGTGCGCGCCGCTTTGTAACTGAAACGATAACGGTAGAAGGGGATAACGGTAGAACGGTGGAACGGCAGAACGGGAAAAACTGCAAGAGCTACAAAAAAGGAAAACGAAAGAACGAAAGAAAAAACCCAGCAGGAAAAGTGAACAAAACCGAACAGAAATATGGGTAACGGAAGGAGCACAGCACAGCACGGAACGAGCAGGAGCAGAAACAGAAGCTGGAGATGGAGGAGGAGAAGAAGAAGGAGGAGGAGCAGAAGCAGAAGTAACACCAAGGCGCCCAGACAATGGCGGAAGAGTGAAAATATAATAAAATGTCGTTTATTGAGGGCACTCCAACTCGAACAGCCAGCGAATGCGAATGCGATTGCTACTCATTCCACCTCGAGAATCCGCCACCCAATTCCCATATCTATAATCCTGCATTTCCTGTCATTTCGCAGGTCATCCTCTGGGGAAACCTCGAGACCAAAGCCCATGGCGAAGCCCGGCGAAAAGCATACCAGGACGCACACTGAGAGAATGGGCGAAAGCGAGGTAGAAGTGCAGCTTTGGATGAATTTGACGAGAGGCCCGAGAGCAGATCATAAATATTTGCTTTTATGCGGCCATTTTGCCTTTTCATTGTTCATTTTCCGACATTAATGGCTGCGGCCAAACGACTCGAATCGTCCATTACATTGATAATTAATAAAGGATAATGCCCCCCCAACACCCGCTCCCTGCCATTTCCACCCAACTCTAGTTAATATATTCTGATTGATTCCCATTTTCATTTGCATTGGGGTAACATTTGAGAAGCGGGGGGAAATATATAGAATTGAAAAGGGATTGAAGTACATGAAATCTAGAATCCTCCTTGCCGAGGAATATAATACCGTACAAAAGAATTAATTAACATATGTACATAGACATAAGCCATGAATGTGCATGTTTAAAATCATAGAAGCTCTATAATAATCTCTACTTATGTATAGGTAGACTTATATCTATACTGCCGAATCAGAGAATAGCGTTAATTAAAGATTTGGATACCTACTCAAACGTAAATATCAGAGATTGCGAAGTATAGATCTTTATACTTCAAAGATTGTAATTAGTGGAAGTTGACAATTTCGTTAAAACATTGTCAAGAATGGCAACCCAGAGGAAAATAACAGAACAGAAATGTGGAATCAAACGATTTTTAAACTCGTGTTTAAATCCCGTTTAAAGCAATCGATTTCAGATTCAATTCTTCCATCCCAGTCCACAGACATCCTTTATTCTGACTGCAATTTGAGTTTGTTTTTTAATCGATGACCAACAGTGCGTATGCGTGTTTTTAATTGAAACTTCTCATACGCAGCGTGTGACAAATCAACAGGATGTTCGATTAGATGTATTGCCCAGGGGAGAGCGTAAAGCGTGCCTGAAGACCTACCCAATTGCCATTTGTTGCTCCTTGCCTCCCCTCCCATGCCGCCCACTCTCACACATAGCACACTCAGCAGCACACATACAAAAACATGGACATCCCATCCCGTATGGCTACTTCCTTGGCTTTCTTGCCAAACGCTTTCATGCACATTTATCGTGATTAGCTATTAATTGATAATAATTAACTTAAGCACAAGCCGCAGATGTTTTACCCCCTGATGAACAACAGCATCAACCGAAGCAACATTTCTCCCTCCGTGTTCATATTCTTTATTCTCGCACCAGAATATGTCCATATGTATGTATATAGCACGAGTATATACTCGTGCGAGTACATATTGAAGTATTTGTGTGTCTGGAAAAGACTTGCTTTTTGCCTTTCAGTTCGGGATATCTGAAACTGACGTTTTTGCTGTTTGATTTGGCATCCTGTGCCTATAACTTCGAGTACTTCGATTGCTTCGATTTGTCGGCTGTTTGCTTGTCGGACAGTCATAATGGGACGAGGGATGGGATCATTTAATTCGTTGCCATCAAATCGACAATTGGCAAATAATTAAGGCTCTCATCATGTCAGCTGCCATCCCCCATTCGCTGGGCATTGTTTTATCATTGGGTTTTGAGCATGGGAAAAATCTTCAACAATACTTACATGCGGGCTTTGGGATTATTACTCAAACTCTGATCGGAGCAAAGTGTGCTCGATTCTTCTCTCCTCTGGTTCACTGGCCATCAATTCCATGCAGTTTCACTACCGATTCTCCTGTCGGCCTTTCGTTTGTTTTTGTTTTTTTTTTACACACACACAAACACGCAAACACTTACTTATTTTGTCTATTGACAACGCAAAAAAAAGTTTTAAAAAAAATCAAAGAAAATGTTTTTGGCCGACGGATTTGCTTGATAAAAGAACTTGAACTATGATCCTATGCTATTTATTGCTATCTTTTGTTTTGTTTATTTTTGTTTTTTGTCCTATTTGTTAACTTTATTTTTGCAGCTTGTTGATTGAGTTGGTTATCATTAATGAGATAGAGATGGCACTATAGACAGCGATAGAGACGAGTGGCAGAGTGACAGAGATAGAGAGAGAGAAAGGGAGACTGCGAGAGGCGCGAACTCAAGAAAACACAAATTTTCTAAACAAAAATTTCTAGCACGAAATGTTTTCCAATTCTCTGATGTATTTTTCGCAATTTTTTTGTTTGTTTTTGTTTTTGGTTCTTTTTTTGTGGGTTTTTTTGTATATATTTTGTATGGTTTTTTTTTTGGATTTTTTTAGATTTTTTAGATATTTGTTTGTTCAACCAGAGTCTTGGGTGATTTATTTCGATTTAGTTCGAGTGGAGTTGCATTGAGTGGAGCGGAGTTGAGTTGAATTGAATTGAACTGAGTGGATGGCTGTTGAAGCTGCTGCGAGATCCGTGCGGCACGTGCGAACACGTTCAGATTTCATAACCAACTGTCGAGCCACGGCAGAGCTGGCAGAGCCGACAGCAGCCGATAGCCAGGCCAGAACCGAGGACGAGTCCATGAGTCGGGACCAGTGCGAAGCCGCACGAACCGCAAACGACGACAACGACAACGACTACAATGACGAGGACGAGGACGAGTAGGAGTTCTTGGGCATTCGAAAGGCTTTCGAAGTTTACTCTTTCGAGACGACACGGCTAATGGCAGCGGGTCCTGCCAGACATTCGGGCGCTGGGTCCTGGGACCCTGGTCTTGGTCTGGTCTGATGCTGATGCTGATTCTGGTGCTAGTGCTGGTCCTTGTTCTGGCATGCTACCGGCAGCCAGCATCCACAGCGACTCTCTTAAGCCAGCTCACCATGCTCTCTTAGCTCGAAACGGATTCAAGAGAGGGTGTCGGTGTTTGTGTCGGTGTTTGTGTCGGTGTGCGCGTGTGTGCGTGTGGGGGTGTATGTGTGTACGAGTATTACACTTTTATAACAGCAAGAAAAGTTAAATTCCGCATTTAAGCCATGCCATGCCCCGACTATGCTGTTGCTGTTGCTCAAGTGTTGCACATTACGGAGCTGAAGCCAGGCATAAAACTTTCACCATTAGCCACGTTAATGTGACGCCCGCGCCAAATTCGTCAGCTGGCCAGTGGTGCAAGGACATCAAAGCCACAGAAGCACAGAGCCACAGAGGGACCAGGGGACAAAGAGACAGTGGAAGCACAGACAGGGACAAGGACACCCAAAGTGGAGACTTAGCGAAAGTTTTATCGACACTTTCGGCCACATCGTGATGTAAGTAGCTGTCCAAGGATATAAGGATATGAGCACAGCTCGCGATGAGATTAAACTGGAGGTGAAAGACGATAAGCATCCGCTTCCATCAACAGTCTATGATCCCGAGGATCTACCCACTCCTCCACTGATGCCTGGGATTTGCATGGTCCAGGTGCTGGGGGAGTCCCAAAGTACAGTACACTACACAGAGCACAGAACACAGGACGACAATGTGAGTGGGGATGTGAATGAAGATTGGGATGGAGATTGGGATGGAGCCCAGGCATATTTATGCGACCCACTTGGGATCGTAAGTGCTGTCAACGATGTCTTTGGCCCTGGCTATGGCCATGGCCATGGACAGTGCCAGTGCCAGTGCCAGTGCCAGTGCCGTTCGGATGGAATCGCGACACATGCTGCTCCAAGTGGGCTTCCCTGCCCCTTTGCCGCTCTCTCTCGTTCTCTCTTTCTCTCCCGGCTCATCCTGCTCAGTATGGCACTATGACATATTGTATCCACAAGCGTACGTGCCCTGGGTGCCAACAAAAGAAAGTTTTCTTACTCAGCTCCGTTAAAACCTCAGTCCTACCCTTCACCTTCGTCAACTGCCGCTGCCGCTGCCGCTGCTGCTCCTGCTCCTGCTCTGGCTCCGGCTCCGGCCATCGTTATGGTATGTGGTTCCAGTCTGAATCTTACTTTCGTGTTCGTGTCCCTTTTCAAGATATCCTGACATAAATTTAATGAATGACATTCTTATTAGTTGCCGCTGATAGGGCTGATAGGGCGAGACGAAATGCAAACATACCCGTACTCGTACTCGTATTCGTACAATGAAAATCGCAGCCAGAATCGGGCCTCATTAAAGGAGGCGGCAATGGAGAGTAGGAAATCTGAGCAGCAATTAGTGGCGGCGCCACAGAGCACTTGGAACATCAATATAGCTGGAGGGATAACATTTGTAGCAAGCGCTTGAGGAGAGTATGGAGTGGGTGCAGGGACTGGGATTGGAAGAGGAGCTGTGACTACTCAAAGCCGACCTGAAGCTGGAAAGAAATATAGAATGATATAGAATGAATATAGGAATGAGTTCAAAGAGTAGCTCGAATAAATAGATGCTAGATCGAAAGTTGACCAGAATCTAAAACAGATGCTGGTAGAGGAGAGGATCCATGCTAGATCTGGTACAGAGAAGAGGATCAGGCTGGAGGAAGTGCAAATCAGAGAAAAACTCTATTAAAAGGACTTTCACGCCGGGTCAGGATCGGGTCCCACAACAATAAATTAAGTCCAAGCCCGCTCGGGGGAACAGGACAAGCTCTCCCTACTGGCCAGGACGGACGCACACTTTCCGGGATTCATTTGTTGCCTCCTCCCTCCTCCCCCCCTCTGTATCGAACTGCCTGATGAGAGCTATGCCGCTGGGAATGCAAAGTTTCAATAGCCCTACCCCTGCTCTGCCGACCTTGAGCGCCCAGTTGACCCACAATCTGGTGACCGACCACCAAACCGAGAAAAAGAGGAAGGGTCGAAGGGCCGCCGAAATAACAAATAACAAACACCCGAAAAATCTACAAAGCGGGAGAGCTGCCAGTCAGAGAAGTTGGGCACATTTGTCACATGGGCACTCGGCAGATTCACATTTTCGAGTGCAACGAAATGTTGCACACGACTGCCACCCCTTGCCGCCGGCCACCCTCCTGTTGAGCCCCTCAACTGGTGGCAGTCAAAGTTAATAGGGGGCCGGGGTGGGGGCGTAGGGTGGAGGTTGGGCATTAGTTCACCGCATTTTATAGCCCAGCAACCTCGCATATGTGTGTTATCTATCCACCCCTACACCCCTACTCACCCACTTACCCAGTCACCCACTCGTCCAGACCCCGGGGGCATGTCAAAAGGTGCTCACATCTCCTTCCTGCCACCACCATTCATGTGGTGGCACCATGTCCGCTCCCGTTCCCCCGCCGTCTGAGAGTGTGTGCTAGAGAATTTTTTGCGTGTATCACCCACAGAGAGAAATGAAGGGAGAGAGGGAGAGAGGGAGAGAGCTAAAGGGGTATAGGGACATAGGGCCTGGGAAAACTTTTTCAGCAACTACAATAATTTAGTATAGTTCACAAAAAGTTCCACCTGTCCGCATCCGCATCCGCATCCACATCCGCATTCCACAGCCGCCACCTATACTCGTATCCGCATCTGTTTCGGGGCACCACGACCCGCCGATCCCCCAACCAACCATGTGTGCGTCTAAAGTTTATTGGTAAAATTTTATTGCAGATTTTTGTGTGCCACCTACCCAGCACCCTACACCTACCCTCAGGCAGCAGAACCACAGCCCCAAACGCCTAGGGCTTGCCGTCGTCTTGTGAAAATATTTTGGGAAAACTTTTGCAATTTATCTGTTTCATAGCCAGCGACCAACACACACACACACACACGCACACGTATCGTATTGGTACATGGGGAAAAAAGAGAAGCCAGAATGAAAGGCGAAAGAAGAAGAGAGAGGGGAGGAAAAGAAAGAAAAAGTCCGTTCAGGTATCTCTGCCTGTCGCTGCCAGGCTTAAAGAGCATGTAGGTGTGTGTGTGTGTGTGTGTGTGTGTGTGTGCGTGTGTGTTCTACCCACAAATAAGTGAACAAAAAGCAGACCAGAAAAAAGACTAAAAAACTAAACATCGAAAACCAAAATGAAATACCAAAGAAAAGGAAAAAACCCAATTGCAAAATGAATCGAGTTAAAGTAATTTAACAGTAGATTGTCCAAGAACTCCACACACATACACACACACAAACACCACGCCCCATTCCCACCTCCCCCGACGCCCCTCGAAGCCCCTCGAAGTCTGAGTTCCCAAGGTGGACGGACTACAACAGATGGCCAAGTGCTGATAAGTGCCACGAGTGGAGATGGCCATGGAGTGGAGCGTGGAACGTGGTGCTGGTAATATATCATTTAAGAGTGGGGAGGCACGGCACTCCTTGGGAGGCAGCCACTAATTGATGCTCCAATGGGGGCCATAGAAGAGATGAAAAAAGGAAAGATCTAGGGTAAATTAAATTCAATATATACTGAATCATTGTCCTCATAAATCATATGTAAAGAATCAACTCAGAAATCAGAAGTATCGTAATGGTAAATCATCTAAAAGTAGAACTCAGCTACTGATCTACCGATCCTTCTTTTTGTTTATAAGTGCTCAAGTCAATAACATCATAATTGCATCTATCCAGAATCAATTCCTTCGATTTTCATTGATTTTTAATCATGGGAGTGTTGCGACGGCAAGAGGAAATGAAATCGTCTCCGTTTCAGTCATTAACAGCCGATTCTCACGGATATCGCTTTCGGGAACATGGCAATATACATTCATCTGATCGTAGCCCTCATCAAATGCTAATCCCACCCAACCCCGAACTGTCGATGTTCCGAGGTACTGCTCCAAAAAGAGAGCAAAAGGCGCAACAGAGCAACGACTGAATAGTCAACCGCAAAACCCTGCGCTGGTCTGGGATGAGCACACCCGCAAAAAACCAGAATGGGATCGAGGAACCGTTGAAA